AGAAACTCTTTTTTTTAAATCATTTTATTGGGGCTCATACAATTCATCACAATACATAGATCAATTGTGTAAAGCACACTTATACATTTGTTGCCCTCATCATTCTCAAAATTCGCTTTCCTCTTGGGTTCCTGGAATTAGCTCATTTTCCTTTTTTCCCCTCCCCCTCCCTCCCCACTCCCCCCTCCCTCATGAACCCTTAATAATTTATAAATTATTATTATATCTTATCTTACACTGCCCGGCGTCTCCCTTCACCCACCCTTCTTGCCTATCCCCCAGAGAGGAGGTTATATGTAGATTCTTGTGATCAATTCCCCCTTCCTACGCCCCACTTCCCTCCCGATATCGCCACTGTCACCGCTGGTCCTGAGGGGTTCATCTGTCCTAGATTCCCTGTGTTTCCAGTTCCCATCTGTACCGCTGTGCATCCTCTGGTCTAAACAGGTTTGCAAGGTAGAATTGGGGTCATGGTAGTTGGGGGGAGGAAGCGTTTAAGAACTAGAGGAAGGTTGTGGGTTTCATTTTTGCTATACTGAACCCTAAATGACTCATCTCCTCCCCACTACCCCTCTGCAAGGTATGTCCAGTTGTCTAGAGATGGGCATTGGGTCCCCATCACGCACCACCCTCATTCACGATGATATGGTGTTTGAAGCCTGGTGTTTGAAGCCTGGTCCCTTCGGCCCTTCATGATCACACATGTTGGTGTGCTGCTTCCATGTGGGCTTTGTTGCTTCTGGGCTAGCACAGAAACTCTCTATAGGAGTAGAAAGATTTGTCTTTCTTCTGGGGAGCTGCTGGTGGTTTTGAACTGTTGACTTTGCTGTTAGCGGCCCAACTCATAACCACTACACCACCAGGGCTCCTTTATAAGCCCTGACAACCCCTATTTTACAAACCTCGGGTTTACGAAAAAAGCTTTTTATTACATTTATGGCTGGCAGGGGAGTTTATTTCCAGGCACCACACCCCGTGCTCTTTTCTCCCCATTTCAGAAAATCTGGAACAGGCTTGACCATGTGAAGTAACTTCTCTTTTTGCCTATGAAAAGCTAGCATGTTGTTGCTGCCCTTAACACACTGGAGAGAGGGACTTTATCCTTCAAATGAGTGTTCCCGTTAGTACTAAAGCCAGACACGAACCATATCGTAACCTTCTCTCTCCATCTCTTTTCTCCTGCTGTACCAAGGCACCAGAGCAGTCCAGCAGCTGCAGGAATAAGGGCAGAAAAGGGAGAGCTCAGGCAAAGAAACACACAGGAAAACAATGTCTGCTTAGTGGTGAACGTTTGAGGACCACCGTTATTTTACCAGCCATGCTAGGAGTGAACTGGCCTGTCCTGGGAGCCAGCCACCTGGGAAAATGCATTCCACATTCTACCTGAGCAGACTGTAGGATTTAACCTTATGCGTTTTCTGTCAGGAAAGCCTGGAAAGATAACTAACCCCCATGCTCACTGCCATTGACTTAGTTGTGACACACACTCACCCTATGTGGCAGTGGTTCTCAACCTTCCTAATGCTGCGAATACAGTTCCTCATGCTGTGGTGACACCCAACCATCAAATTCCTTTTGTGGCTACTTCATAACTGTAATTTTGCTACTGTTATGAATCGAGCGACCCCTGTGAAAAGGTCGTTTGACCCCCAAAGGGATCGTGCCCCACAGGTTGAGAACCGCTGCTATGTGGGGTTTCCAAAGCCATAACTCTTTAAGAGGTCATTTTTTCTCCCCAGAAGTGGCGAGCAGGTTCAAACATTGGACCGTCTGGTTAGCAGCCCAATGCCTACCTAACCCAGAGTGCCAGGATGGTTCCTAAAGTGAATGTCAATTGTAGTCCAGGATAAACTTTTCAAAGATAATTATATATTTTATGTTATAGAGGCTAGTTCATCCCCTCGGTGTTTTTGTTTGTTTTCTTAGTGCCTGCAGTCAAAATCTGCTAAAATACATCAAAACCATACATAAGATTAAATCTCGAAAAATAGTCAAATAGTGCCCAGTAGCTCTGGTTACAAATGACAAGAGCGTGTTAGGGCTATTGGGGAGACTCTTTTAATCTTGGGGTAAAACTTGAAGGAAGCATTCTCAGACTATGCTTATTCAAAATTCAGGGACCACGTGCTAGAGGTGACCTCTAGTCCATATGTCCGTAGGAATGAATGAATATTTTACTTTCCGCTTTGCCCTGAACTCTCATAATAAATGATTTGCTATATCTGGGAATGGAGAATTCTTCCAAATTAAACTAAAAAGTGGAATTGCTCATGTAAACCTGATGGGTGGATCTTTTGGCTTGCTTTCTCAGTAGTTATTTATACTTACAAAGTCAGTCTACCTAATATTGGTCTACTATCAGTTTTTCAGATGGAAATATGACAAGAGTTTGAGACTGAAATGAAAGAGAATCTTACAGGGCAAAAGTTTGTTAGTTTAAACTTTATTGATTAAAATGTTATTATTGTTTTGGACCAAAGGTAGGCTGAAGTACTCTTTTGCCCTGGTTGTGACAATAAATATATGTAACTAAGGGAATGAGTTGTACAAGTGGGGAGTGGATCAGACAAACAGAAAGCATCCACGTGTAAGCAAATAAGTGACATGATAATTGTGTTATTGTTCTACTAAGCAGTGCTTTTTTTAAAACCCAAATTCATTTTATGTGCTCTGAAAGTAATAAAATGTCAAGCTAGCTCAGGATTTAGACTCCCCAGGGTTCAAGACGATGTTTCACTGGGTTGCATTTATAAGCTTCCCCTGATGTTGGAACGTTTGACCCTTTCGGGGGTTTGCTGCCCAATTATAGGCAAGCCTCATTTTGTTGCATTTCCCAGATCCTGGGTGTTTTGACAAACTGAAGGTTTGGCCGCTCAGCAAGCCTGTCAGAGCTATTTGCCCTATAGCTTATGTGCACACTTCGTGTCCTTGGTCACCTTTTGGTATTCTCATCATTCTTCCAACTTTTCTCATATTGTTATGGCATACTTCAGGTACCCTGGTGGTGTAGTGCTTACACACTGGGCTGCTAAGCACAAGGTCAGCAGTCAGAACCCACAAGCTGCTCTGGGATTTCTACCACGGTTAACTTATCATCTTGGAAACTCACAGGGGCAGTTCTGCCCTGTCCTGCAGGATTACTGTGAGTCAGAATTGATTCATTGGCAGTGAGTACATGTAAGAGTCATGCACTGTAGTGCATGACTTTATTAAGGTTGCAATACAAACAAAGAACCTCACTGCCATTGAGTTGATTCCAACTCTTTTTAAAAAAATCATTTTATTGGGGGCTCATACAACTCTGATCACAATCCATACATACATCAATTGTATAAAGCACATTAGTACTTTCTTACCCTCATCATTCTCAAAACATTTGCTCTTCACGATGATGCTTCTGTTTTAAAAAGTCTATTCTGCCACTCTGTGGCTTAAAAAAATTTTTTTTTAGCACATTTGTGCATTCATTGCCCTCATCATTGACAGGGAATCCAGGGCTAATGATCTCCTCAGCACCAGTGGTGAGAGTGGCAATACTGGGAGAGTAGAGGGCGCGTAGTTTGGAAAGGGGGAACCGATTACAAGAATCTACATATAACCTCCTCCCTGGTGGACGGACAACAGAAAAGTGGGTGAAGGGAGACGTCGGAAAGGTCAAGATATAAAAAAATAATAATTTATAAATTATCAAGGGCTCATGACGGAGGGGGGAGCGGGGAGGGAGGGGAAAAATGAGGAGCTGATGCCAGGGGTTTAAGTGGATTCCAACTCTTAGTGACCCTGCACGACAGGATAGAACTGCGCCTGTGGATTTCTGAGACTGTACTCTTTACCGGAGAAGAAAGCCCTATCTTTCTCCCATGGAGAAGCAGGTGGTTTCAAACTGCTGAACTTGCGGTTAGTAGACCAACACATAACCACTAAACCACCAAACCACAAAACCAAACTCACTGCCACCAGCACTCCTTTTATATGCACTGGGTAACCACAAAATCTGTGCAACTAGCTTTCTTGTGATATTTGCTTTCTTGCAAAGGTCTAGAACTGAACCTACACTCACTCAGAGGTTTGCCTGCAGATACTTCATGTGAAAAACATTAAATTATCTATTTAAAGGGCTCAACATATGTATGGAAGAGTTGGGGGATTGTGGGTGTGTTAGTCTGGGTACTTTAGAGAAACAAATCCACAGAAACTCATGTCTAAGAGTGAGTTTTCTATAAAGGGTAAGTGCATATCAAGAAAATATCCCAACCCAGTGCTGCCCAAGCCCACAAGTCCAACATTAACCCATTACCCCATATGTCCAACACCAGTCCACGAAGTCCTCCTCCGTCTCACAAAACACACCTATGATGCCAACTGCAGGAGGAAAGCTGAGTCAGTGAACATGTAAACATCTCAGCGCTGGCAGGGGTCTCCACGTGGCTGCTCCAGCACCCAGGGCTGCATTGGGGTAGGTCCATGCGGCTTCTCCTCAAGGATGTCTTGCAGGAAGTGAGCCTTGCCAGCTGAGACTGGAAACTGGCTAAGGCAGCTGCACCATGGTATGACCATCAGAAAGCAAGAGACCTGAGAACTAGAAAGGCGAGGCTCACTGAGCCATTTATCCCTCCGCCCTTCAATTAACCCCACATGTGTTTATCGGCCAGCTTGGCACAATAAACTAACTCCCTCAGTGGGAGTGGCAGAGGCCTGCTTGCCTGGGCACTGCACCTGGTCTGGGATGGAACACAATCTGTAAGAACTCCCCTCTGGCACATTACATAAATGATTTGAAAATGGGGATGATGGTACCCAGAGATCGATCTTGGGAATGATGCACAAGCCAAAGTGTGTGGTATAGGAATAGGCCCCTCCAGGAGTGCCTTCCCTACGTTAGAACAGTGATTTTTGGGGGGAAAGAGAACAATCGTTGAGAGTGATGGTGTACAATGAAGATTTACCCGTAGACAGCCCCATGTTTTATGTTAACGTAAAATGACCTATTCTAATTTCAGGTTATATCCAGGCATGTAGAGGACTTATGATTGCTGCTGTCAGCCTTGGCTTTTTTGGTTCCATATTTGCACTGTTTGGAATGAAGTGTACCAAAGTCGGAGGCTCAGATAAAGCCAAAGCTAAAATTGCTTGTTTGGCTGGAATTGTATTCATACTGTCAGGTAAATAGTAACTTTCTTCCACACAAGGTACTTCATGGTGTTAATGGCAGAACAATAACAATAGCGCTTTCCTTCTGGCACTTTCTAGGGCTGTGCTCCATGACTGGCTGTTCTCTATATGCAAACAAAATCACAACGGAATTCTTCGACCCTCTCTACGTTGAGCAAAAGTAAGCTCTTTTCTCAGTCTACATGTATCCAGCTCATAGGAAATGAGTATAAATTGATGGTCCAAATGAAGTCAAAAGAATTTCCTAGATGGTGTGTGAAAGTAAGGCATCCTGTTAGACAATATAGAATGATGGCACTCAAGATCTGATATTTTGTGTGATATGTTGACAAAAAACAAACAAACAAAAACAAGACAACACCTACTGCTGTGGAGTGTATCCCTAGCCATAGCAACAATACAGAGCTGCCCACAGGGGCTTCTTACCCTCCTCACCCTGGAAGCCTTACGGAAGCAGACTGCCTAATCGGTCTCCTTGGGGCATTCTATGTGTTGTCAAGCCATCCTTATTGGGTTTGTCTCTTTTTTTGTTTGTTTTCTTCTTGTTTGTGTTTTGCATGATTTCCTGTGTATAAAATCTAGGACAGGTATTTCTATAGAGACAGTAACTGGGTTGATAATTGCCTGGAGACATGGCAGGGACTACTGGGGGGATAGGGAGCCAATAACAATGAGCACAGGAAGAAAATGCTCTGAAATTGACTGTGGTGATGATGGCACAAATCCTGCTAATATGATTGAACTAATAAGTTGTATTACATGTGAAGTATAACCTCATGAAAAAGCTTCATTTATATTACTTAGTAGTGGGGTTTTTTTTTTGAGTTTTTGTTTCTCAACAACTTTATTGACATACAATCATGTAATATATCATTCCCTGATTTGAATTATATAATCTATTTTTAGTAAATTAAACATCACCATAGTAAATTTTAGAACATTTTCATAATGTCAGAAAAAAACCGTACACCCTGTAGCTACCATCCCATCCTATGCCTCCATCCCCTCAGCCCTAAGCAACCACTAAATTACTTTTGGTCTCTAGATTTCCTGCCCTGGATATTTCATATGAATGGGATCATAGCAGCCTGCTAGCTGATAATCACAAGGTCAGCAGTTCAAACCCACCAGCCACTCTGTGGGAGAAAGATGAGGCTTTCTGCTCCTGTACAGATTTATAAAGCTTCAAAAATGCACAGGGGTGGTCCTACTCTACCTATAGATACTGTCATTATGAGTCAGAGTCTACTTAGTGGTAGTGGGTGTTTTTGTTTGCTTGTTTATTGTTGTTTGTTTGAGATCATATAATATGTGAACTTTTAGCACTGGCTTCTTTCACTTAGCAGTTTTCAATGTTATTCATGTAGCAGCAATCACTTAATTACTTTTTTGGCTGGGTCATGTTCCGTTGTATGGATATATCACATTTTGTTTATTCATCAGTTGAAAAACATCTGGACTGCTTCTACTAATCAAATTGCATTATAACTCCTTGCTTTTAAATAGCTCAAGGAGTAACATATATATATATATGATAACCACCCAGTGGCCATCAGAAAGTTGACATCAAGCCTAGGGAAAGTGGAAGGCAGGTGTTGGACAGGAAAGAAAGAATGATGAAATGTGATGGTTGGAAAGTGGTTGATTGTTGGCCAGGTTTCTTAATTGGCCTTTCATATTTATTAATTACTTCCTTTATATTTATTAATTACCTCCACAACCTTTATTTATTAATGCCTTCCTTTCATATTCATATTTATTAATTAGCTCCACAACCTTCCTTTAACAAGGTATATATAT